GGCGGTCGCCGAACGTCTTTGAAATGTGTTCGTCCATAATCCTCTTAATATCAGCTGATTTAGTTTCATTTTCGCTTAGAACAGGTTTGGTAGGGTCGGTTTGGTGGAGTGTGAGCGTAATCGCTTTCTTCGACGGTACCATTGGAGATCCTTGAGCTGCTTTCTGGGCATACGTGGGTGCTGCAGGCAAGTAATTAGGTGTTACCCTTTGCTCCCTTAATTCGTGTAACTGCTGCTGGAATCTGTGGGACATCTCCTTGAGAGATTTGTCGTGTTTGTCCTGCTCTTCACGTATGCACTTTTTGAATGTGCTTTCTAACTCACCTTTTAATTTCCCGACGGTTTGCGTCATCACATCGGTGAGATGCTCAGCTAACGAAAGTATATCAAAACTACGCGCTCCGTAATTTTCATTAGCGGTTCTGCGTCTCTTATTTAAATTAGTATTGAGTCTTTGACTCTGTCTCCTCCCGTGTTGCGACGCGTCGAGATTTCCTCGCGCGTCAGCAGCACCGAAATCGAACGATATATTGTTTAAAAAGTGCTCACCTGTGAATTCGGCGCTTGCGGATTCACCGGGAGGGTTTTTATGCCCCTCCGGCAAATCGGCCGATTTTCGATGATGAGCGTCCATCTTTGGTACATAAAAATTTGCGATGACGTAATAGCTCGATAATTGAAATATTGAATATTATCGAGACTAAGATTTTGTTCAGAAAAAGCTGATGTAGTACAACGGTGAAGTCGGATAGTGGTTATTCCGTTGATTTCAAGCATATAAGCTTTCCAAGTTTCTTGGAGATTGTCAATGCCTTGTGCGTCGAGAGTTCGAATCTCTCCTTCACCAGCATTTTTGCCCTATTCAATTCTGAGCAATTTTTTGGTTATTTTCCTTAATATTAATTTTTTGTGTATTTTAATAAGTTTTATTTGTATTATTATTTTGATTCACAAACTTAAGCGTGTTTATCCTACAGTGCCATATGTCAATTGATGATGGGAAACTACATATAAGTGCTGGAAGATAACACGTGTATTATTGGACAAGCATGGAGTTAGCACGATAACATTCATTATTGCTGAAAGAACAATGAAACAACCAAAAAATATTAAGAGTGCAATATTTCTAATGACTAGCATCAAGAGATATATTCATAAATTCAGAGTTTCCAACAATAATATAAGCATATCAGAATCAATTGAAGGTTAGTTGATCACTATTATCTATTGCGGTCTTACTTATCTGGGTATATATTACTTTTATGATTTAACTATTTTCTACTTGTAAGGGAGGGAATTATAGTGCTGCAAGGGCAAGGTAAGGCGTTTCTCTGATTATTCATCCTTTTTTTCCTGTGTCATGTTGATCTGCCAGTTTGATGGTTCTGAAGTGAAATGTGAATCTTTCATTCTATTCTGAAATTCAAATCGGGTACGCTTAGAATCCAGAAGCGATGTATTTTGCAAGAATAACAGGTTACTAAAGGAAAAGATGTAAAATTTACAAACACGCCATAGATCATAGTATACTCTCAAATTTGCTGTTATAAGAGGTGGACTAACAATCTATATTGTAGAGTAAAAAATTTAAGAGATAGGTTATTTGCTCATGATCAGCAGTTATAAGTATCCTTTTAGTTAGCGTTCACTCTTGTGCTCCAAAAAATGGTTGGCTTGACGATCCTCAAAAGAATATTAAATGTATTTCTTACGAATGATAAATCTACGTATTATTACTAAACCTTTTAAAGTTTGAGTAACGGCACTGGCATTATATTATAAGCAGATGTGATTTGACTTTAAAATACGATGTATGCTGTTTTAATTGCCCCAAAAACTAAATCTGCTGATATAGCCTTATTTACACCTTCATGACTCCAAGTCTTCGCGTTTTATCACAAGATGGTCATACCGCTTCTAGAATTATTTTAAATAATTTATGTATGTTGGCATATCTTGTAGTATATTTTGGAAATTAATAAATTGATTCCCGTCATTTTTGCCTCTCAATCTATGCATGAAGGGAAATCTCAGTAAGTTGAATAAGTATTTGAAAGATAAAATCACGTGCTACCATTTATTGCTGATTTAATGGTTTTATGATTATTTAAATCATATTGGATTCTTCAAATATGTTTAACCTTGTATCAGAACAAACAAAACTACGCATTATTGCTCAACGAATGATATAATTGTACGTAAAAAAGTTAGCACCTTTACCTCAAAGAATGTGTATCCCTGTGGTTGATTTAAAAAGTAAACTCCAAACCTTTCAAGCCTGAAGTAGTTAAAAACTGAACTGAAGAACTTCAACTGGTACCCTAGATGATACCATGTGACATGTTGACTTCAAAAACGTAAATGAAATTATAATTTAGGTGTGTTTTAGAGTTAGAACACTTATACCAACGATTTTGTCCAGCGATACATTTGCATAGAAAATATTATGAAATATGGCTCTTGATGTATACAACTTCCACTATTTTCTTTAATTATTATAAAAATAGGACAATGAGGACAATGAGGTAATGGAAACTATATGAAATAATCCCGTAAAAGAAGAATCCTCAAAAAAGTGTTTCATTTTCAGGATAACAAAATTATTTTGAACGCAAGAAGAAGGCGTGTCCTTTCTCCTGCGAATTTATTCAACGCTGTATTTAAATTTGATGTAAGGGGATGATATACTAGTGATGATCTAACAGATGCACATCTATTGTCCGCGTGCAAGTGGTTGTAGATGCCGTCACTTACATGGTGTTGTTATTTCCAACTCTATCACTACGGTGTAGCCATCTCTTGATAAGATAAGGCAAGTATTGATTGATTTATAAATAGTGAGTATACGTCATCTGACATGTATGCCGAATTTAGACAGGAAAACTAGCTTATACCTGTCGTATGATAATATCGGCCCCTTTCCTGCTGTTATCGGTCCACGCAACTATAGTTGGGATACACATATCAGTTTGCGAGTCCACTGACAGGTTCCTTGTTAGTATATCGGCTAGTACGCCCGCTTGTCAAGAACTTCTGGTTTCAGACTTTCCGCGGGAGAGCTGGGTTCAACTCCCAGACAGGGAGTTTCGTTTTTGTACCTTTATCAAAAAGTACTTTTTCAACTTTGGGTCTTTTTGTATAGCTAAATAATTTTGATGTTTTTTTTCATAAATTATTAATATACACCTGCTGGGGGTGCTTCATAGGATGAGATTTGGAAAATGGGGGATGTAACAGATATGGTCGTCAAAATTATTTAATTTAATAGAGCCTGTTAAGGTATGTGTTGTTATAAATCATTAAACTCGTTACATATTGATCAGAGAAGGAAGCTATGTTCAGCATCATATCTATAGCTTCTTCATATATACAGCTATATTAGTGAATCAATCAGGACCACAATACTCCATTCTCTTCAATTCACTATTTCTTATATCAGTTTTTCTAAAAGATCCCTAATTTATGCCTTTGACCGCGTTAGCAACCAACACGTTACCTCAATTCCTGACAAATACCCACGCAACACTCCTGTATCTCTTATTATACCCTCAGACTATTAATTTGGGTGACAGAAATACTGTTTACGACTCTCAGTTACTGTTACTTTTGAGATTCTCGGAAATTGGAATGAGACACTGCGGACAGATATGAGCTCTTGAAGCATACTTTCCAAATCAGATTTTGGTTATGCTATTATTATACTTAGTGAAGTTGTGATGATTAGCTTTAGCATATATTACTGTGAAAGGTATGAGGATGATTACTATGAATATAAGGTATATTTTTGCCATTATAGCTATTAAATTGTCTTCCTATATGAAATAATCAAACATTCACTACAACCTAGTCTTTATCGCAAAAACCTGAAGGTATTCCTATAAGTAAATGTTCAAATGGCTTTTCTTTCTTTTTCTTTCTTAAATCATATAGGTAAAATGTTCCTTTAGAAGATTGAATTACTTATATACTTTTGATTGTCCACTTGTTTATTTATTCTCTCTGACCACATCTTATTCCGTACTGCCCTCTTATTACGATATCTTCCTACTAGCAACTTAATGAAGCTGTGTGTTTAACTTATGTATCGAATTCCAACATTATGATGTTTTGTTTTGATTGTATCGCTAAGCGGAAGAAGTAGTGTCATGTGGGTGTGTAAATCATCAATATGACATGAGACAAGAACTTATATGTCTTAATTTGATAAGTAGTTGCTACAACAATAATAATTTCACTATTGAAGCTTCAGTGAATGCAGGAGTGGATTAGGGATGGATAGATAGCAACGTGATAAAGGACTTAGCGTCTCCAATAGATCATTTAGTAAAGAGTATGAAACGTAATTCGGGATAAATAGGGAAGTTTCCACTTAATGCATGTAATGGTTTGCCGGTTTATGCAGCTGCAGCCTGAATCGGCAAACTAGGAAGGTTTGAACCCACAAAGTGTTCGCTTATTAAATGGAAAATTTAAATAAATGAATGGATAAACCTTTTAAAAAGGAGACACAACGCTCTATTTGGAAGTTTCTTTTTTGTCTCTTCTTTTTTATTCCGCATCAAACCAGGACTCCATCTATTCCGAGGGTAGCGATAAGGGTAACAAGAAAAACTTCGAGAAGGAAGTTATTTGTATAACAGATCTAGATCAATACATTATACTTGCTAACTGTGAATGCTCAAAGGTGCTGATACCCTTGTTCAAAGAGACAAAGGAATGAACATATAAGCGAGGATTGTAAAAGCTAACAAATGTGGAAATGAATAAAGATCATAAATGTTTATTTGTCTCCTTTGACAAAATTTCTTCTATGCACGGCCAACAAACAATGCTCATATGTTCCTCGCTTTGGCCAGCGGCTTTGGCTTGACAGTGACGTTCACCTTAAGGAAATACAATCATGGCTAGTGCAAAGATAGTTTTACCAAACTACCATAAATTGGTATTATATACAGACGAAGATAAGCAGATAACGTCCGAGGAAGGCGTACTCTTGCCAAGCTCTTTCGGGAGCTATACTACGTTTGAAATACTGAACACACACGATGGTAAATTCAAACTACGTACTAATGAACTGGAAGCTGGCTACGTGAGCTGCAATGAAAGAGGTCTCTACCTGGGTTCTTCCTTCGTGGATGCAGATCAGTTCGAAGTACATTTAAATACGACAAACGACACTTTCACGTTATTGTCTACGAGTAGGAACGTCAAGAGTACAGGAAGACCAGTTTACGTTTCTCTCAATCCACCAATCAAGATATGAATTTCTATGACAAAATCCACTATGCATGACTAACAACAAAAAGAAAAATTATAGAAAGCAATTTTAAGCATTCTCCCAACCTTGAACATTTACAACTTCAACTTCAGTACCTTGTACGACTTTACCGATAACATGTACTTCATTTTCACCTGTGTTCTTGATTCCTTGTACTACCTTTTCGGCATCTTGTGCGTCGACGACGAGTACCATACCAATACCGTTGTTAAATGTGCGTGCCATTTCATTTGATGCAACACGTCCATTCTTTTGCAACCAGTCGAAAACAGCTGGACGCTTCCAGGTGTTAGCATCCACAATAGCACCTAAGCCTTTTGGAAGTACACGTGGGATGTTTTCAGTGAATCCACCACCGGTAATGTGGCTCATACCCTTAATTAAACCCTCTCTAATAACTGGGAGGGTTGACTTAACGTAGATCTTAGTAGGAGTAAGTAATTCTTCAGCTACTGAACGTTCGCCCCATGGCGCTTTTATGCTGCGGTAATCGATATCACTGCCGAACGCATGTGCGATAATCTTGTGCACAAGTGAGTAACCGTTGGAGTGGATACCAGATGAGGAAACACCGACGAGAACGTCGCCTTCCTTGATGTTATCCTTTGGAAGAATTTCTGGGCGCTCGACAGCACCAACTGCAAAACCGGCAAGATCGTAGTCATCTAGAGGGTCTGTCAGGGGTGTGATGATACCATCCATGATACTCACCATCTGTGTAGATATTTGGCATTTCCGCGGTCTCGCCACCAATGAGAGCACAGTTGGCTTGTCTGCATCCCTCTGCAATACCCTTGATAACCGCAGCGGCATCATCGACCTGTAACTTAGAGCATGCGTAGTAATCGAGGAACAAGAGAGGTTCAGCACCTTGTACGATAAGGTCGTTTACAGACATAGCGACAAGATCTATACCTGTAATAGTTGTTAACCGCAGACTACTCGAATGGAGCAAACCTACCAACGCTATCGTGGATCTTTGTGTTGTGAGCAATTTTAATCTTGGTTCCTACACCATCAGTACCACAAACTAAAATAGGGTCCTTGAAACCAGCAGCTTTGAGGTCAAAGGCACCACCAAATCCACCAATATCAGCATCGGCACCTGATCTCTTAGTTGCCTTCACAGTTGGTTTAATGAGATCAACGAGTCTGTTACCCTCTTCGATGGATACACCAGCTTGGGCGTAGGTCATACCTTCTTCGGTGTTCTCCTTGAGTGCTCTATGAGCAATATCCTTTCTGAAAGTTTTACCTTCGAATTCGATAGCATCTACACCCTTGTAAGCCTTATCAAGGGCTTCTCTGAGGGTGGAGCCGAATGCAGAAACAGCAAGAACTCTTCCACCAGCTGTGACGAGTTGACCATCCTTGATAGCTGTACCAGCATGATAGGCAACAACATCTTTAGGTAAATCATTGATCTTGATAGGTACACCAGTTGGATACTTTCCTGGGTAACCACCGGATGCTAAAACAACAGAAGCTGCGTGTTCACCTTCTCTAAGTGAGAATTTAACACAGTCAAGACGACGGTCAACACAGGCCTTCATAATCTCTGCGAGATCAGATTCAGGTGACAAAAGACGTAAAAGGGCTTGTGTTTCTGGGTCACCAAATCTAACGTTATATTCAAGAACCTTGACGCCAGTTGGATCGACCATGAAACCAGTGAAAAGCATACCAACCATTGGGAAACCATCTTTACGCATACCATCAACGGTGTTCTTGATAATACGAAGGCATTCCTTGCGTACCTCTGGAGTTTCAGCTGGGGCAGGTGTGTATGCACCCATACCACCGGTGTTGGGACCACTGTCACCTTCACCAATACGCTTGTGGTCTTGGGCGGCAGGGAGAGCGTGTACAGTGTAACCATCAGTGAAAGCCAAAACAGAGAGTTCTGGACCAGTTAAGAGCTGTTCTAAGACAAGGGAAGAACCGGCTGCACCGAATTGCTGCTTTTCGAGTACGTTTTCGACTTCTTGGAGACACTCTTCCATTGTTGATGGCATGATAACACCTTTTCCACCTGCTAAACCGTCTGCTTTTACGACCAAACTAATTCCATTTGCGTATGATTGACGTACGTATTCCTTCGCTGCTGGTGATTGATCTTTTGTGAAGTTTTGGAATGCAGCTGTTGGTATATTGTGTCTAGCCATGAAATCCTTAGCAAATGTTTTGCTACCTTCGCATTGTGCAGCTGTCTGTGATGGACCGAAGACGCTGATACCAGCTGAGGGTTGTTAATAAAGAAATGAAAATGAAAAACCAATTAACCTTTTCTAAAGTGAGTCTCTACACCGTCAACTAATGGCTGTTCAGGACCTGGAATTACCAAGTTTATCTAACGATGTTATTCCGAGAGAAGGATAGAGATATACTGCAACCTACGTCGTTGTTTACCGCGTATTCAACTAATCTGGCGAAATCCTTAGGTGCGTGGCCGCACTCAAAGTTTTTGCACTTTTTGATATCTGCAGTACCACCATTTCCCGGTGCTACGACGATAGATTCTACGAGTTTAGATTCTGCGAGTGTGTAGGCTAATGTGTGCTCTCTACCCCCATTACCGAGGATGAGTACTCTGAGTGACATGATGATAGTAACTTAATAAGAAGAATTTATAAATATACATACTCGATTAGCTACAACGATGATCAAAGTAGGCGTCGGTTGCTTTATTCTAAACAAAAACAATCAGATTCTGATTGGTAGGAGGCTGAACAGTATAGGTCATGGTGAGTCTTCTCTCTACGTTGCTTGACTCCTAACGATATAGGTACACTCGGTATGTCCACTCTATGGAGCGCTAGTCATAGCTAATATATCACAGCCCTGCCAGGTGGACACCTCGAGTACGGTGAATCATTCGAACAGGTGTGCTATCTTTTCCATGACAAACATCCCTAATGACAACACAGTGTGCCGCCAGAGAAGTAGAAGAAGAAACCTCACTTAAGCTAGACAACTGGCGGTTTGGTACAGCCGTCAGCAGTATGACTGAGTCACAACACTACGTCACTATCTTCATGTGTGCAAAGCACAATACTGATGTTGCACCCGTCACGACAGAGCCTCAAAAGTGCGAGGGTTGGTCCTGGATTAACTGGGAAGATCTCAAGAAAATCCCATCAGATCAACTCTTCAAACCACTCAACATACTCTTCCAAGAAAGAGAAAATTTTACACCATCGACTGAATAAATTAATATGTATAATTTTTACATTCTATATATCCGTTCTAATAACCCGCATGAGGTCTTGTTCCCACTCCTGGAGCTCGCCTTCTTTGTATTCATCGCTTTTCTCAGCGAGGGCTTTTTCGAAAACACTCCAGTCGAGAACGTTACTACCAGTTGAGACGCCACCATCTTCTGTCGATGCATTTGCAAGTGCAAATTCCCCTTGACGTGTTCTTGTGAGTTCGACAACGTGTGCTGATGAACCGAGCGCTTGTCCGAGGTCGTGGACAATTGATCTCACATACGTGCCACCAGAGACTGTCATCCGGAGCTTGAAAGCTGTCGGTGGACGTACCTCCTTATCGGCTTGCTCACTTGGTTCCTCTTGTGGTTCCTCACTTCCTTCCAGTACCTTGTCGACCTTTTCATCATCTGCTTTCTCTTCACTCTTGTCGTCAGTCCCACTAGCAACAAACTCCTGTGCTTTCTGAGCTGCTTCTTTATCCTCACTGCTAAGCTCTTTCATTGGATATCTAAACGCGTGCTTGTCTCCAGGGATAAATTCCTCTAATGTAAGAGAATGTATGGTGCACTTCCTCTTCTCTACTGGTTTAGGTGGAGTCTCTCCAGCTCTGGCATACTCAAACAATCTCTTTCCTTCAATTTTGATCGCCGAAAAGCTAAGCGAGATGTTAAGCAAAGCAAACATGCGAGGAGAACACTCACATTGGTGGTAATTGGTCTATTTCACCTCTAAAACCCTCTAATGCATCCTCTATATCGCTTTTTGTTATATGCTGCCAGCGTGATTTTGATACTACTGCGCCTTCTGAATCGTAAGAGTCTGTCTCACAACCGAGTAAGCCAATTGTTGTGTACTCTTTCGAGCAGTTTAATAGATCTGCGAGCTTCTTTGTACCCTTGTTGAGACCGACGACGAGTACACCGTCTGCTAATGGGTCTAATGTACCACCCTGACCAACTTTGACTGCATAACCACCCACTCCTCGTGCACCACCGCCTCTAGACTTACGCCATTTGTTTCCTTTCTTCTTCTTATCAGATGGTAGAGGCGGAGGAGCATCTTCGTGCGGTTTAAACAATTGCGAGTATCCAAATAAAGGCTTCAAGGAATCTAGCAAAGCCATAGAAGTGATACCGGATGGCTTGTTAAGAGCAAACAATCCAGATAGCGGGTAATGTATTGAATGCGTTTTTGGCATTTGACCGTTTATCTTAAACTCTAACCACGATGACTAGAAATTTGAAGAAAATATCTGACGAAGAACGAGAGTCTAATCTGGGTAGTGTATACGGTGTATCTGGTCCCGTTGTTGTAGCACAAGGTTTGGATGGCGTGGCTATGTACGAACTGATTAGAGTAGGCCATGACGAGCTCATTGGTGAAGTTATCAGAATAGAAGGGAAGTTAGCTATAGCGCAGGTCTACGAGGAAACTTCAGGTTTAACCGTTGGTGATCCCGTACTCCGCACTGGAAAGCCATTATCAGTCGAACTTGGTCCTGGTTTGATGTCCAATATTTATGACGGTATACAGCGTCCTTTGAAGGGTATTAGAGAGAAATCTCAATCAATCTATATCCCTAGAGGTATCAACACAGATGCACTCGATAGATCCATCCAGTGGGACTTCAACCCTTCTGTCGCAATCGGCGATCACTTATCTGGTGGTGATATTTTCGGTAGCGTATACGAGAATTCACTCCTTAATGATCATAAAATGATGCTCAACCCACGCGCTCTTGGTACTGTCACTCATATCGCAGAAAAGGGTGCTTACAACGTTGATGATGTCGTCCTTGAAACTGAATTTGAAGGCAAAAAATCCAATCACACAATGGCACAACTCTGGCCAGTCAGAGCTCCACGTCCAGTCACTGAGAAGCTCACCGCAAACTACCCACTTCTCACCGGTCAGCGTATTCTCGACAGTCTGTTCCCGTGTGTTCAAGGTGGTACAACTTCTATTCCTGGTGCTTTCGGTTGTGGTAAAACTGTTATCTCACAAGCTCTCTCGAAGTTCTCTAACTCTGACATCATCGTTTACGTTGGATGCGGTGAACGTGGTAACGAAATGGCTGAAGTATTGCTTGAATTCCCTGAACTCACTATTGAAGTAAATGGTCGTGAAGAACCTATTATGAAACGTACTGCACTTGTCGCAAACACATCAAATATGCCGGTAGCAGCACGTGAAGCGTCCATCTACACTGGTATTACAATTTCTGAATACTTTAGAGATCAGGGTAAGAACGTTGCCATGATGGCAGACTCTACCTCCCGTTGGGCAGAAGCCTTGCGTGAAATTTCTGGTAGATTGGCTGAAATGCCTGCTGACTCGTAGGTAAAATTACCTATGATATTACAATCTAACAACTATAATAGTGGTTACCCTGCCTACCTTGGTGGTAAATTAGCCTCCTTCTACGAAAGAGCAGGTCGCGTAAGCACTCTTGGATCACCAAACCGTGAAGGTTCAGTTTCTATCGTCGGTGCCGTCTCTCCCCCAGGTGGTGACTTCTCAGATCCTGTTACTTCATCTACACTCGGTATTGTCCAGGTTTTCTGGGGTTTGGACAAGAAGCTTGCTCAAAGAAAGCATTTCCCATCTGTTAACTGGAACCTCTCCTACTCAAAATACACGAACGTCCTTGAGCCATACTACGAAGAAAACGCACCAGGATTTATAGATTTACGTTCAAAAGCAAAGTCAATCCTACAAAAAGAAGAAGATTTAGCAGAAATCGTACAACTCGTTGGTAAAAGTGCATTAGGTGAAAATGACAAGGTTACATTAGAATTAGCAAGAATGTTGAAGGATGATTTCCTCCAACAAAATGGTATGAGTGAATACGATCGCTTTTGTCCATTCTACAAGACTGCTGGTATGCTTAACAACTTTATCACTTTCAATGAACAAGCGCAAAATGCAATCGCTGATGGTGACTTAACATACAACAACATCAAAGAAGGTGTTTCTGATGTTATGTTCAAACTTTCACAGATGAAGTTTGAATCACCTTCACAAGGTAAAGAGGATATCACAGCTAAGTTCGATCAACTTAATACCGTGAGTAAGAATACATTACGCATATAATTATTAACGACCCATTTTCCAGGAAATTCAAGAGAAATTTAGACAGTTGATTGAGTAATCATTTTCATTTAATTTTATTCATTCATTTTATTTTTATCCAAGTCGAACGTGTTAGCCATTTTTGAATTAAAATAGCACTCCAGATCGACATGCAGTCAATTTATTATCGTAATATTCCAGATGATTGGAGTATGTAAGGTATGCATAGCATTCTAAAAGCGATGCTAGAATTACTTCGTTGTCATTTTCAACATACGCGTGATACCTGTCCATAAGAAGAAGCGTTTAAACTCATCTCAAAGTCAACCTGGCGAGGAAATGAGTCTAAATACGAGTTTACTCTTACTGTGACAAAAATTAAAGTTATTGAGTTTTTGTTTTGCAAATTGTTTGTCTATATTGTCATGAGTTAGTGATCTCTTATTGTGAAAATCTCCAACTCTTCTAACTTAGCTGTGAACCTCAGAGTCATGAAACCACAATTAAAAATCACACATAAGTTTTTTAACTTCTCAAGCTTAAGCAACCTGCTGAAATTAACTCAGTTACTTTCAAATTCTGACATACACCAAATTTTCAAGCAGAATCTAAACGTTTTACGTTCTGCTTTTATAACATTCACTGAATGTCTCTTGTCATAGATAAATTGCGATACTTTTATACTTCTAATGACCTATAATTGTGTAGTTTTGATAACCAACTTCGACTTACATAATTCATGATCCATGCTCGACTAATTGTTAGGGATAATTGAAGTCATCTTTGGTGACGATTTCGAAAAAGGATATTTGTACATTTCACTTCAATAATTTTACATTTTTATACCTTGAAACACTTTTATAGTTCATTAAAGACAGGAAAATATGGATACCCTAAATAGGATAAATTTCTTGAATTGAGCGTACAAGAAAGTTACTCTTGGATAAAAGTACTATTATAAAAGGATACGCTTGCAAAAATTACATTTGCATACTAACATAGAAAAATAAAACAAAAAAGGAACCTGGTAAAGGAGAGATTCGAACTCTCGACGCACAAGGCATTGACAATCTCCAAGATACTTGGAAAGCAACTAAGCTTGAAATCAACGGAATAACCACTATCCGACTTTACCGTTGGACTTTACCACTGTACTAGATTCCAGTTGTTGATTCCTTCGCTAAGCATCAAAATAATGTAAGACAAAAAAAAAGCTAATTCCTAATTTATAGCAATTAATATAAAGTTTAGATGGACGATCATCATCGAAAATCGGCCGATTTGCCGGAGGGGCATAAAAACCCTCCCAGTGAATCCGCAAGCGCCGAATTCACAGGTGAGCACTTTTTAAACGATATATCGTTCGATTTCGGTGCTGCTGACGCGCGAGGAAATCTCGACGCGTCGCAACACGGGAGGAGACAGAGTCAAAGACTCAATACTAATTTAAATAAGAGACGCAGAACCGCTAATGAAAATTACGGAGCGCGTAGTTTTGATATACTTTCGTTAGCTGAGCATCTCACCGATGTGATGACGCAAACCGTCGGGAAGTTAAAAGGTGAGTTAGAAAGCACATTCAAAAAGTGCATACGTGAAGAGCAGGACAAACACGACAAATCTCTCAAGGAGATGTCCCACAGATTCGAGCAGCAGTTACACGAATTAAGGGAGCAAAGGGTAACACCTAATTACTTGCCTGCAACACCCACGTATGCC